GCATTTTAGAAATACAGTTCAACCACTTGGCCCATTCCATTTATTTATTTATGAAGTTCATTTATCTATTCTATAAAATTGTTTTCTTTAGTATGTCTTTGCAAGTTTTAATTCTTAATTATATTAAGGACTATTGTTTTGTTTTCTTTCCTTTCCTTACTGTTTGTCTATGCTGCCCAACTCAAAAGGAAATCCTCAACTGGCTGTGTTCAGTTAGACTTTGGTCAGAGGGCAAGGTTGTCTCTTCACAAGGTATTAAGTCCCCAGCCTCTCTGTTCAGGGGTGATAATAACTGGCCAGGACTGTTGACAGCAGTTGAATCACACGACGGGCTGCAGTGGAGGTTGGACATTTAAGGGCAAATGGCTGCTGAGTGCCTTCCCCTCCACGACCTGGAGCTCTCGGAAGAAGGTTGTCCTTTCCTCCCAAAGACTCCTTTCCTTCCAGCCTTCCCCTCCCACTTCAATTGCTTCTCTTCTTCCTTCTCTTCTAACCCCAAACCCCCAAGCACACGTTGGGAACTTGTATGTGATTTCATTTGGCTTTTGTTTCTGCTTTGTCATGAGTTGAGGATAGAAAAGCATGACTGGTGAGAGAACAGAAGGTAAGAAGGCAGATGACTATCTCAGTATGTAACAGCTGTTCGACGTCTGTGTACGGCCCAGGAAGATCATGTTCCTCCAAGGGGAGAGCCACTGGGCAGGAAAGGAGGCCCGGCCAATCTGGCTGACAAAATCAGGCACGGTCACTGTCAAAGGTGATGTGCTGCAACCAGCGGCGCCTCCCAGCCCCTCTGATGCCGTCCCTCTGTCATCGTAGGTTTGAACATAACATCATTCCATTGACTTTTCAAAACTTGAATTTAGTAAAACTCTCTTCAAGATTTCTAGAGAATAATTTCAGTAGGAATATCAGTTTAACTTATTCTTAGTTAGTTCTTATTACCAGTTTATAGCCCATCAGAAATTTGGGCAGGTTTAGCATTTAGATGTGTCATTTCACACATATATTTAAAATATCTCTTAGTTCTCCAAGCGTTCATTGTGAACAATTATTATACTCTTTTAAGGTCATAATTAATTCACATCCTTCCCACGCCCTCCAGAATTTGGCTCAAAGGAGGTTACACCTTTGGCTCAAAGGAGGTCACTCTTGATCTGCAGCTCTGCTAGAACTGATCAGAGAACCTAATAATGTGGAAAGCTAACTTTTCAGTGCTTACGTATAACTTTATTTCTCTACATCAGTGGCTCTCAACCTGGACTACCTGTTGTTTAAAAAATCTCAATACCCAGGCTGCACCCCTGACAGATTGGGTCAAGCCTCTGGGAGTAGACCAAGGCATCAGTATTTTCTTAAAACTCCTCAGTTGATTCCGATGTGCAGTCACAGTTAGGAAATGCTGCTCTTAGGGCTTGCCAGGTTACAGATTTCTGAGAGTTTAGTTAAGAGCACATCTGAGCTGGTCATCTTTCCTTTCTGGGAATTTCTTGAGAAGCAGTAGAGAATTGTCTAACAAAAAAGCTATTTTTTACTAGTGCTGAGAGTTTAGACGAAATCACAAGGATTTGTGTTTTAATCCCACCTCTGCAAACAACAGCAATATAAACACAGGCAACTCACTTAACCTCTCGGAACCCCAGTTTCACCCATGTCTAAGTGGAAATAGTACCCACCTTCTAGAACTGTTAGCAGTATTAAAGGAGATTACATAAATATTCAACATGATGTAATAATATGTAGCATGATGTATGAAACATAGTAATGATAACAAAGTAAATATGTCAGTACAATCCTTATTTTCAAAATGAAAGCTCCAAAGAGAGAATAAAAGTGAATCCCAAGGTTATGGTCAAGATTTTTGAATGCTGATCAGTGTTAACACATTAACATTTCTTCAGGATGTGGGACCACTTGAATGGAATACTCATTTCTCTAAGAATTACTTTAGGGCCAAAGGTGGCTTCTCTTGTCCATTGAAACATTCTTTTAAGAGATGTTTTTAAGAGTGTGCTACTCTGTCTGTAGGTTTAGGCTAAAAAAACACCACAAGAGAGTAGGAAGTATTTCTCCTCTAGAAATGACTGTGTGTGGCTCATCAGAGAGGACCTCAGAGTGTATGATAACCATTTATTGCCTTCATAGTGAAACACAAAACAACTTTCTACTGGGATTTTCAGATCGAATAGACAGGTGCTCATTTTAAGGTTAGGCCAGCACCTCTCAGACTTGGGAAACCTGAGCATGACTCAAAGGAACTGGACTTGAGGAAGGTTGAATGTCTTCGGCCACAGTGATAACAGCTGAAGCAGGAGGTGTCTGAGCAAGAGAGAAGCAGCAGTTGTATTACAGTTCTTCTTGCCTCCAGAAGAGAAGTTACCCACTTTCCCACACTCACTGTGACATATTCATTCGCTAAGAAAAGTGGTTTATGTCATTCTTAAACACTGCTCTGAAGTTCTGATATGTACTGAATTTGTTTATTATATCAATATATCAACAGCCTTCAGATATTTACTATGGGTAATATCTTTCCCTATCCATCCTCCAAATTAATCCATCAGCTGGGTCCTCTGCCTCAGATTCTCTCACAGTCACTCAAAGTGCCAGCGAGGGCCATGGTCTCATCCGAAGTCTGAAATGGGGAAGGATCGGCTTCCATGGTCACTTTCATGGTTGTTCCCCAGGACTCAGTTCTTGGAGGGTTGTGAGACTGAGGGCCTCAACGTCTTTCTGGTTGTGGACCAGAGGCTACCCTCCATTCTTTGCCCTGTGGTTCTCACTAACATGGCAGCTTACTTCAGCAAAACCAGCAAGAGACTAAGTCAGGTAGCAAGACAGAAGTCACAATCCTTTGTAACCTAATCACAGGTGTGACATCCCCTCAATGCTATCATATTCCATAGGTTCGAGGCAAGTTACTCAAGGGGAGGAAATATTCAAGGTTGTGGATAGGGATCCTTCAAGGAGGATTGAAGGAGGCAGGGATCCTTGGGGCCATCTGAGAGGCTGTCTGCTACAGCACCTAGCAGCACATACCCAGCCATAAAAGAAAGAAGGAAGGAAGGAGAGAAGGAGGGTGCAAGGAAGGAGAAAGAAAGGAGGAAGATAGGGAAAGGAAGGCAGGCAATGAAAGACAGACATTAAAAAAGTAGCTTTGCTGCACTGCGCCTACATCGGGATTCCTCTGTGGGCACGTATTTCATCACATTAGCACCACAACCATGAATTTCCTATTTCTTATTTAGAATGCAGGATAACATGGGGCTTTCTATATATCTGGAGTTAAAAGGAAACAGAATAAACAAGGATAGTAAGTTTAAGCAAGAGAAATGTGTTTCAAATTAATTCTTTTTAAGTTGTTTTTCCCCCAGCTAGCAAAGTTTTTTTTTTCCCTTCATGTTTCAAGTTTTCATATTAGGTTTATTATTCTTGCCATTATGTGGCAGGCTTATTGCACAGGGAATATAGGAACCTGGATGGTGTTTGCATTTGGTGTTCTCTGGTGGTTTGGGCTCCAATACCAAAATTATGTTTTGATTCTGTAGATTTTTATTAGTGGTTGTATATGTCACTTAATTATAAAAGTGAAGTTGTAAAGTACCTTGGATCTCATCTATTCCAGCCTCTCTATTGAGAAAACTGAGGTCCAAATGACTTGAGAAGTTCAAGGCTAAATAGTATCAGAACTGAGACTACATCACAAATCTCTCAATTGGAAATCTGGTGTATTTCCTCTTCTCACGTTCTGTTCAAAAAAACAGTCAGAATGTGCAATCCTCCCCTCAACCCTGCAGGCGTTAAAACATGTTAGTTGTGGTTTAAATGTGGTTTATTTAGCACTGATTTTCTGGAAGGATCTAAAAGATAATACTTCCAGTGCTTCAGCTAATAGAAAAAGGAACTTTTCCAGGAACTCTACTGTATAATAGTTGCTTGCCTAAAGAAACATACACCTTTTTCATTTTTAATAGATTACACAGGCTCCAGTGCTTCAGTGCTCTGAGTGGGTTCATAAACATTGACCACAGTCTCCAAAATGGCCATGGAAGTCAGAAGAATAATGAAAATTGATATACAAAAATGAGTTTTACCTCAGACCCGCTGCACATTCATAGCTGCAGTTTTCATAGATGCAGAGGAGCTTGGCTAATATCCTAACACACAGGAGTCTTTCTCCACTTCCCAAATTAGCATTGACACGTATATATATGCACAAGTTGTTGAAAGTAGGTATCTATTTAATGATACCTATTTAATGAGTTTACTGGCTGAATCTTTTAAAAGACTGCAAACATTAGTGACTTTATCAAACATCTGTAAAAAGAGAAAAGCCTCTGTGGTTCTCTGGGGCCCAACTGGTGCCAACACAGCCATCCATGGTGGGCAGCTGCCACCATGCACATTGCTGGGCACACTTCAGGTGCCTGCCTAGGTTTCTCAGAAGTCAGGTGAGGACCCTCAGCCCATGGGCAGGTGCAGCCTAGAAGTTCAGTGGCATTAACACCTCCAGGGCAGCCCTCAACCGATGGGAGTTGGTGGATAAACGCCCTGGGCTCCCATCATTGTCGAGGACACAGGGAAGGCACACTTTTCACAGCTTCTCAGAGGGACCTCAGTGGGGTTGGACCCCTGTCAGCCACTATGGGCACGAGCCGAAGAGCAGACACTTTGTTAGCTGTTTTCCCTTCCCTACGTCCCTCTTTCCCTTTCCTGGGGTCACCCTCCAAATAAACTACCTGTGCCCAAATCCTCATCTCTAGCTCTGGTTTCTTAAACAGGCCCCAAGAAATAATGTCGGAAATAAAGACAAAATGGTTTGTCCCTGGAATCGGGACTGACAGAGAAATCACTGGCAGCCAGCAGTTCTGTAGCTGTGACCCAAGGAAACAGCATTTCTAGAAGAAGTGCTTGTTCTTGACCGCTTTAAGTATGTGTTTCATTAGGACCATCTGTTACCCTCCCGATATCATGCCTTGCCTTTTCTTTTTATTCTGCAGATTCTTCCGGGAAGCCTAAATTCACCAAGTGCCGTTCACCTGAACTAGAGACTTTTTCATGCCACTGGACAGATGGGGTTCATCACGGTTTACAGAGCCCAGGATCCATACAGCTGTTCTATATCAGAAGGTGCAGGCTTCATGCCATTCTGACTTTTCTCTTCTACAGATTTTCTCATTAAAACGTATTGAGTGACATGCAGTGGTAGGAACGGAAATAACCTATTTTGATGACCTAAATGCATTCACCCATTCATTTATTCAAAGATATTAATTAAGCCCTTACTCTATGTTGGGTACTGTTTTAGGCCCTGGAGATACAGTAGTGATTACAAAAAGATAAAGTCCCTGGTCTCATGGAGATTTGTTTCCAGTGGGGGAAGACAGACAAAAAAAAATTTTAATTAAAAAATTAAATGTCAGCTGGCAACATGGTTAAGAAAAGTAAAGCCAGAAAGAGTGTTAGCACTGTGTAAATATATGCATGTGCTTGAGAGTGTCTGAGGATGAGTGTGTGAAGGTATGAGTGAGCATGTTTGTGAGTGCAAGAATGTGTGTGAGTGTGTAAAAGTGGGTACAAGTGTGACTGCATGAATGTGGGAAGGTGGGTGAGTATGCACGTGTGAATATGTGTGAGAGTGTGGGGGGGGTGGTTGTGCATGAGTGTCTGTATGTGTAAATGTGCGTGAGCATATGGGGGAGTGAACAAAGTGAGTGTGCATGAGTGTGTGTGTATGTCAGGAGCTCGGGTGACATCTTAAATGAGGAGGTCATCGGAGGCCTCTCTGTGGTGCATTATAGCGGAGACGTAAATGAGGTGAGAGAGGCCATGTGAGTATCTGGGAAAGACTGTCCAGACAGAGGAAATTGCAAGTGCAAAAGCCCTGAGGCCGATGTGGCAGGTAGGAAGAAAGCAGGAGGCCGGATGGTACAAGGTGGAAGACAGGGAGAGTAATGGGGGAGAAGTCAGAGGGGGTTAGCAGGGCCAAACTGAGACGAGCCTTGCAGGCCATGGCACAGCCTACTTTCTCTGTGGTGGGAAGCCATAGGGGTTTTTTTAAAGATGTGTGTTTTAAAAGACTGGTTCCTATGTAGAAAATAGACTGTGTCCCAGTTAAATTAGTTTCATTCAGTGAGGGACTGTGATACTTCTCTCTTCCATTTTTACTGATGGTCCTGTAAAATAACGGGAAGAGTGAAACAAAGATCTTCCAACATGATCACCACCCGAGTCGTTTATTTCTTACTCCTCCTCACCTGGCACGATTTCCATTTCTGTTTACTCTCATGTTGTACCTTTTTGCTTTTAAAATTTTAGGCTCAAACACTCTATCATCTCCTCTTTTCCACCCAACCCCCAGGGAAGGCCTAAGCCAAGATGCAAGATTAGTGGAGACCCCTGATCTGGTGGTGGTCATCTGTCCAAGGACGGTGCTTTCAGTCCCCCAGAGGAGCGGGGAAAGGAAAGGTAGAGGCAGCAGGCAGTTAAGGGCATGAGCTCAGGGCCAACCATCTCGCATTTCAGCCTGGCTCCAGCCCTCGCTCACAGAGTGATGCTGGGCAGATTAGTCAGTCTGTCAACAATTCAGCCGCCTCATTTGCAAAATGGAGATAATAGACCTTTTGCCACATGGCTTCTTGTGAGGGTTCTATTCACTAATCCATGAAAAACACTTATCACTGTGCTTGGTGACAAGCATAGTAAGTACTGAATAAATGGTAGCTGCTATTCTTATTATTGGTAGCGGGATAATAATTTAAAATAATATAGAATTCTAATTGCTGGACTACAAAAGTGATTTTTGATTCTTTACTGCTTATGACTATTGATGTGCTATAAGACCATTTTTAATGCAGAGCTGGATGCTTAATTTGCAAATAAATACTTTGAATTAGCAACTAGGACTGGCCTTAGTCACCTTCCAGGTGTGTGAGAGGTCTCTCAGATGTACCCCAAAGGGCACACAGAGATGAGACGGTTGGGCACCAAATGCACATTTTTTCCCAGCAAGGCTGATACTGCAGAGAGGTAGGGGCCGGTTGACAAAGCTGATTTGTATACATACATTTGGACAGGAAGCTAAAATGTCTGGTAACACTTTTGAAAGGAAGCTAAAATGTCTGGTAACACTTTTGAATATCCTCTGAAATTATTGTTAAATGAAGAGAGATTTAGTAGGTTCAGTTTTCATACTTTTGCTTTAGCAGCTTAGAGCTCAATCAAAACAAAACAAGTTATTCATACTGGCACAACTAACTAAAATAAAGAGAGAAATAGCAGTTGGGCCCACTTTATGAAAACAGATTTTCACCACCCTAATATTCACCAAATTTGAACCTGAGTAAAAAGATCCAAAAGGATGCAGCCTTCACCAATATATATTTGTCCCTTACCCTCATCCATCAGGGCCACATACCTTTGTCTCCAGGCCTTCTCAGCACAGCCCAGGCTTTTCAGCATCCCTAGTCCAAACCCAGCCCTGTGCCAGTAGAGATGCTACTAAAAGTGTGATGAGGTGGGGGAAAGTCTTGGATCTATTCAGAAAGGCGTCATCAATTATTGTCCTAGTAGAGTTTGGGATCCCAGGGGAAGAAATTGCCACATCCTCAAACCCCCTAAGTACCACCTCATAATTAGGGCCTACCAAACTGGCAAAATCAGTGTTTTGTGTTTTCTCTATAAGCATTTAACTATTTTGAATATCTTAGCCAAAATAACATGAGCGCCCAGCCTGGTTTCTCTGGGCCTACCAAACTGGCAAAATCAGTGTTTTGTGTTTTCTCTATAAGCATTTAACTATTTTGAATATCTTAGCCAAAATAACATGAGCGCCCAGCCTGGTTTCTCTGGAAAGGGGAGAATTAAGGGAATTAGGAGTATCAGGAATATACATTATCAGGACTGCACCAATTAAGAGTACAAATGTGTTGCCTTCATGTTACCCACTTACACAAAGCAGAAAATACAAATGCATTTTCTGACTCTTGTCATTGTTTCTTAGAATTCAGTTCCCAGGCAACTCCTGGGACTATAGAATCATGACTCCCCATCCCTGATACAGAGATGAAACTGTGACATGATGTCATCCAGAGCCAGAGCACTGGAGGCGGGGAGGAGAAGGAGGGGGCTGATGCACTCCCGGCCTGGCTAAAGCACAAGGGAATCTAAACACGTCAGGCCCAGAGCACGGGCCCAGAAGCAGCTGCAGGCTTGGCTGGCTCTGCTCCTGGCCAGGTGAGCTGGGGGAAGAGGCAGCCAATTCAGAACAGTCTGTGCCACCCTGCGATGGAGACCGTGCCCGATTCAGCCTCTGAGCTTGGAGGGGACTCAGCAAGAATGCAAATCACAGGCCTGGCAAAAAGAGGAGCCTGTCAGCATGCTCTGCTCTCAGCCTTTTGCCTGCAGATGCCTTGTTTTCAAAGAAGTGGGCATGTGAAGACTCAGTCTCAAAGATTCTCTCTCCCCCAACCCCACCAAACCCCCTCCCCAAATTACCCCGGCTTTTGAAAAGAAAGTTTCTTTTCCATGCAAGGTGGTGGGGGAAATTAGAAAGGAGAAAGAGCAGTTTTACTCTCTTTTCTTTTTTTAAGGAATATGTTAAATTTTAAGCCTAAAACGCATGATCTGGAGATAATGAAAACAGTTGCCCTTAGAACATAAATGATGTTGTATTTTTTTTTTATTTCTCTTCCAGTTGGTTACCTTTAAGTGGAAAGCATTTCTTCTGCTCTTTATTCTGATTTTTATTGATAGGCTCTTGCTATAGTTCTCACCGGTATGTCACAAGCCAGTCTGGGAGCAAACCTAGAGCACTTAAGTGTAGGGAGTAGCTTCCATAAACGGGCTTTGGTCATCTGTAGAGAAATTCAACCCAGTGAAGGCAGGCAACAGAGCATCGGTTTTGTGAGTCCATTTGTTTTTTTGCGGTACGCAGGCTTCTCACTGTTGTGGCCTCTCCCGTTGCGGAGCACAGGCTCAGCGGCCATGGCTCACGGGCCCAGCCGCTCCACGGCATGTGGGATCTTCCCGGACCGGGGCACGAACCCGCATCCCCTGCATTGGCAGGCGGACTCTCAACCACTGCGCCACCAGGGAAGCCCCCATTTTTTTTTCTCTAAATTTAATAGTTTAAAAAGAAGTGTTAAATATGTATTTAAAATAAAATTCAACTTCAGTTAGTGAGGGAGGGGGTTGGGAGTTGTGTTTTGAACTAGCTCTTCCGGATCTATTGTGCTTAAGATAAGTGCTTTAAGTTGTTTGTTCCATGGAGCTAATGGGTTGGGGACAATCTAAACAGTGTTTTTCATACAGTCCCCATGGGGACCAGGGTGCTGACAAGCCAAAGTTGAGAAACTGTGTGAAATACACAGAGCTAACCTCCCTATTACAAATCCAGAACTGCTAAGCACTAGAATGTTTTAATAGTAACTTTAATACTGTCAATTATGCTAAATACATTTGATATGTCCTTTACTATTATATGGAAGCCTCACTTACTGGGCAATCTCTTAAACCATTGTCTTTACTATACTCTTATTTTGTTTGAAAGCCAAGATAAAACAAACCATACCATAGTTCAATGACCCACCTATCGATAGTTCTTTTTTATCTTTTTCCTATTCTAAACACATACAATACACACGATTCTTACTTCTACCCTCTACCCACTTAATTTTCCCATCGGAGATGAATCTCCCTCTCATCCAAGAGTATGCAGCTTTTGAGAATCTCAACCAGAAATTAAGCAACAGTTCACTGTCCATGTTAATCCCAACTTCTTTCCAACAGCTGACAAGCAGCTGTCTCAAGGACCCCCTGATGTTACACAACTTTCCTCCTAGTGCCAAACTTGGGAAACAGCTGTAAAGAAGGAAACATGTGTCTTCTCCCAGCTCTTCATCCTGCCTTCCCACAGCCTGCAGGGTCCTTGCTGTCCACTGCTGCCCAGCACCCACCCCCCTGGGGTGATGCTCACAGACCTCCACAGTGTGGCCTGCCAGCCCCAAGCGCCTCAGCCGACACAAGGTCATTCCTACCCCCTTCTCCCTCAGCCACAGATCACCTGGCTTTATGTCTCCTTGACTTATAAACCCCCTTCTCAGCCGATAGCCTAGTGAAGAGTAAGTAAATAATCAATTACCCCACCTAAGTAGCAATTCTAATTTAAGAAAGTTTTTCCCAATTATTCCATTGCCTTCTGTTCCCTCTCTTCCTTTCCCTATTGCCATCTGTTAAACTTTTACCCATCTTCAAGATTGCTAAAAACACCACCTCCACCTTGAAGCCTTCCATGAACAGCCAGAGCAATCATTCCCTCTTCTAACTCCAGTGAGTACTATGTGTAAACACTTAGCCACACTGCTTTGTAATACAGTTTCTCGGTCATTCCCCTGAGGCAGGAGTAATTCACATGAATCCCGCATAATATCTGGCACGGTGTTTTATATATAATCAATGCTTATGAAATATCAGTATACTGAATAAAGGAGACAAAAAAAGAAAGTACTTGGATGGTAATTTCTGAGTCATCTTCTAGCCTGAAGGTAGTGATCAAGTCTTATTAATCATTATAGCCACACAGTGCTAGTGCCAGCTATAATGCTTACATACTGCTTGCATTGGAGACAGCCAGTGATGGCTTGCTGAATTCAGCCATTCAGTCAGGCAAGCAGATGGGAAATGGGAGGAGAGCTGTGTCACATTGTCTCACATGTTTGCTCAGTTCCTGCTGGGATGGACTTGAGTCTGAGCGATCTTTTGATTGCTCTGCATTTTTGTTCAGGTCCCCTTAGCAGCTGATCAGGGAATATCCTTTCCCCAAACTGACGTCCTCCCACAGTGAACTTCCTGGCATCTCTTTTTTCTTTGACACACATCCTGCTGTTGTTCTAAGTCATCTGGGTAAATGATGCTTTCTGTAGACTGGGATAGAGGTGAATAACTCCATGGTAGAATTTAAATATGGAGATGTAGCTTTTCTGATTTCTTCAGTGTTCTCCATGTGTCCATCTATCCCTCATGACTTGTTTTGTTTGTTCTTATCTGATCGAAGATATAGGAAAAGATGAACTTGTTCTTTGTAGAGAAACCAAAAAAGGAACTGATAGGCAAACACATTGATTCAGTTCAGCCCATTTTTGTTTTCCTTTTTTTGATATTATAATTAAATGTCCATTGCTATTTACAAAGTGGAGAAGAAAAATGCTTTCTCAGTTTGGAGAAATTTTTTTAATTTCTGGGTTCCTGGCTTTTGTCTCTTTTATGAGTAGAGGGGAAAATCCTAGGACTCCCATGTTTCTTAAAGGTTACCTGGATGTCCAGCATGTTTGAAATGTTCCCGTGGCTCTTCATGTAATTAAGGAAAAAAAATCAGGAGAATGGGAAGGAGTTCGAGGCAACAGGAAACCATCCCCCCCAAACAATGGACAGCTTTGGGGAGATGGACACAGGATGCAGCAGTTCAGAATAGGACGGTAGCCAATTGTCCACTTCAGGGCCACCCAAATCTCCATGTCACTCAGCCTGCAGAACACCATCAGTGTGCTGCCTCAGTTTCTTCCACCATAAGTTGGGGGAATACCCAGGTTTAAAGACTCAGCTATTCTCTGGGAATCTCTATAGTTTGGGGGTTGACTCTCTGCAGTATTTTAATAAAGGAACATTTTTAAACCTTCGTAAGCCTGAGAACCCTCATCGGCAGAATGGGGATAATGAAGTACCTGCCAATAAATCACTTAATTTAGGAGCTGGCTCATTATACACAGTCAATGAAGGGATGCTTTTGGTATAGGCAGAAGTACCAAATGGCCTTCTATCGGTCTACAGACACTGATCATCAATCCACAGATGTGCTACTTCTTGGAAATGGTGCCACTAAGATACTTGCTTATAACATAGTCGTGTCCCAATTTATTGAATCTGACTGCCAAGCACCTTGCTTTGGCTTAAGCTATGGCATGATTTGGGGGAACAATTCATCCTTTTTTACCCTCCATTTCAGGAGCACTCAAGAATGGACTCAAGAATGGAAAGAATGCCCCGATTATGTCTCTGCTGGAGAAAACAGCTGTTACTTTAATTCATCTTATACCTCCATTTGGATCCCCTACTGTATCAAGCTAACTAGCAATGGTGATACTGTGGATCAAAAGTGTTTCTCTGTTGAGGAAATAGGTAAATCACAGGTTTGTGTTTTATTTGACATGGCTTTAGATTAAATAAATGGGGAAGGCTGCAAAGTCCAAGTGTATGCAAATAGGAAGACTGTGTCATTGCACTCTGTAGAGGGATGGAGGTCTCCTTTACAGTGCATGAGATCAGCTGGTGAACAAGAGAGAAAGGGCAGAGGGAGCTTGGGTTGGCTCTAACATGAAAAAAATCTGGCAGTAAATGTTGTAAAGAAAAGAATAGGAGTCTTATGGAGTCTTTTCCTTGAGAAGGTCTCTAAAGCTGGATTGTATTCTTGTGTGCCGCTGCGAGGGACAAACTCAACGCATTCTTAAGATTCCTTCTCTCCTAATGATTTGGTATGATTATTATATTCTGATCTACTGAAATACATTGGCCTTGATCTCTGTCACTGCTATAATAAAGGCCTAGATTTTCTTTACCACAAGGCATAATCATTCTGGAATTTTACATTGACAGAACAGCCAAAATCAGTTTAAAGACATGTTTATAAGATCTCAAAACAAACACTGGAGGTAATTAGCTCAGTGAACGAAGTGAAAGTTCCAAGCAGCTTATCCCTTGCCCATCATGTGGACACAGGGGAAATGAAACAAAACAAACAACCATAATTGGAATATTCATGTTTATACTATAATAGTATAAACAGCTAAATAGAAAGAATCAAAGAAGGACCATGAGTAGCTGACATTGGTGCCTCAGATCTATCCACAAAGCTCATTTGTTGCTTATAGGAATTCCTTGGAGCCTCTCTCAGATGTGTTGTTCTTGTGTGTGGTTTCCCAGGCATCAGCAGACTGGAAGAGACAGAGAGAGTGTGGGTAGAAGTTGCAGATGGAAACAAGTAAATCTGATAGCCTGACTTTGAGGGAGAAGATTGAGAAAACTGTACCAAGCAGAAAAGAGAACCCAATTATACGGTTTAGAGGAACTATTCGTACATATGCCCTAACGTCAATAGATGTAGCTGTCTAGTGGCTAAATGGGTAGTAGAAAGACTACTGTGTCAAGACCCGTGTTCTAACCCTGTCCCTGCCAAGTGCCATGAGCTGGGCACTGTGCTGGGTGTGTTGGCTACAGAACGAGTAAGACGCAGTCAAGTAGGGAAATCAGGCAGGTTAACAAGTAATTGTGATACAGCACATAGGTGCCGGACTCAAGGTGTGTGGAATGCACAGCAAGCCAAGGTTGTGGCCAGAGGTGTGAATGATTGACTGGCCCCGAGGGTAGAGAAAGGGCTGCACAGAGATGGTGACTAGTTCAGTTACTTCTTAAAGCATCAGCAGGAGTTGCCAGTTATACAAGATGGACTGTGTCTTCCAACAGCGACTAAGTTCCAAAAGTGACAGACAACACAGAATGTTCACAGACTCGGGAGCAGTTTGGCAGGCCTGACTCGTTGGCCAGAAAAATCATCAATTGATCTTGTGTACCCAACAGAGGAATTTGGACTTTACCTTACTGCCCAGGGGTACATTTGAGGATGCTTAAGCAGGGAAATGACCTCAGGATATTTATTGCTAACACTTACAAAGCATTTACCATAGATCAGGTGTGATGACTGTGTGAGATAGGTTCTATTATAATCCCCATTTTACAGATGATGAAACTGATCCCCAAAGCAGGGGATCAATGACTAGCTCAAGGTCAGACAGCTGGTAGGCAGAGCTGAGATTCAAACCTAAGCAGCATAGCTCCAGAGCCCATGCTCTTAACCTCAAAGCCATACAGCATGGTACTGTTGTCTCAGGGGAATTCTTCTTGCTGCAGTGTAGAGGGTAGATTGCAATAGCACAGACTAGAGGTATGGGGATTAGAAGACTCTGTGATAATCAAGGCAAAAGATGATGACGGGCAGAGTTACCATGAAAGCAGGGAGGGAGGGAGCTGAGAGTGAGAGACAACAAAGAACCGAGGTGAACCTAGATCTGAAGATGACAGTCACAAGCCTCAGCTTCCTCGTGTATTATGAATGTATTCTACTAGACCTCACAGGGCTCGTCTTTGGATTTAAAGTCATATATTACTTAGGCATTTGTCATTCATTCAGTTTATTCAGTCAATCGTTGAGTCTCTTCCTTAGACCAGGCAGTGTTCTAGGTGCTGGGGACAGAAAACGTCTGCCCTAGTGGGACATTTTCCCAGTGAGGGTGGAAGGAGACCATGCTGCGAAGAGAGATAACATCGGGAGGGAGAAAAGCATGCTGGAGAGGTTGCAGTGGTAGCGTTATCAGACACGGCTTCACCGAGACAGCGACACTTGAGTGAAGAAGGAAATGAGAGAACAGTCACGTGTCCACATGAGGGAAGAGGGCACAGGAAGGGTAAAGATCCTGAAGCGGGAGCATGCCTTTGCTCTCTCAAGGAACAGCATGGGGTAGCAAGGGGATACACAGAGAGCGAGGAGGTGCGTGGTCACAGACCAGATCCCAGAGGTCAGAGGGTCAAGGCTAAGGTACCCTTTAAGCCATGTGTGACTTTGGCTTTCACCTGGAGTGAGATAGGAAGCCTTTGGAAGGCTTTAAATGATGAGTGATATGACCTAACTTAAGATGACCAACATGTCCACAGTATTGAGGGCTGTGTTGAGAATAGACTGAAGGGGGACAAGGACCACAGGAAGAGACTAGTTGGGAGGCTAATGCAGCAAAAAAAAAAAAAATTGATAATGGCTAGGACCAGGTTAGAGCCATGCAGGTGATGAGAAGTGGGTGGATTTGGGGAATATCTTGCAAGTACAGCTGACAGAATGTGGGATGGTGAAAAAAAAGATGAGTCCGGGGGCTTCCCTGGTGGCGCAGTGTTTGAGAGTCCGCCTGCTGATGCAGGGGACGCGGGTTCGTGCCCCGGTCTGGGAAGATCCCACATGCCGCGGAGCGGCTGGGCCCGTGAGCCATGGCTGCTGAGCCTGCGCATCCGGAGCCTGTGCTCCGCAGCGGGAGAGGCCACAACAGTGAGAGGCCCGCGTGCCGCAAAAAAAGAAAAAAAAAAAGAAAAAAGATGAGTCCGGGAAGAGTTGAATTTTTATCCTGAGCAACTGGAGGAATGGAGTCACCATTAACAGAACCAGGGAAGGTAGAAGAGGAGCAAGCTTCAGGCAGAAGACTAGCCTTTGAATGCATTCAGTTTCAGATGCTTTTTAAACATCTCAGGGTGTTTCTCACACCGTAATGTGTCAACTAAGGCACCTTGAAATAAGCATAAAAGTAAGGAAGAGGTTATTATTATGCTCATAACGGTGGTACTGAGCCTCTCAAAAAGGACCCAGTTCTATATCCTCTATTTAAAGTAGACAGGAAGATTTGTAAGATGCAACATGAGTAATAAGTTGGAGAAAACTTTGCATTAAAAACATTTTTATAGTTCAGTCATATAAAGGGTTAAGCTTTGGTTTTCAGAATTCATCAGTCCCCAACAAATCCAGAAAGTTGAGGTATAACTGTCATGATGTGGGTAGCTTAGCTATTTTGCAAATCCCTTCAATTTAATTTCCAAAATGTGGTCATGATTAGTCAAATTGGGACTTTCTCATTTTTTATAAAGTAGTATCCACTCCACAGTGGTCAGTAGCATGCAGTTAAGTAAAACACAGAAAACACTGATTCATTACCATTTGAGAGAGCAGTGTAATGCCTTCATTTTATATCTGAAGAAATGATCACGTGTGGCTAGGAAGACAAGCTAAGGAGTATTTACTGAGTGTTTGGAAGGATTGTGCTTCTGTAGCCGTACAGAAGTGGCAAAGACAAGAAATGAGAAAGAAAATAAGAAAGATCTTGCCCCAGGTCACATAGAGCTTGGAAGAAAAAAGACTTCTCCACCCCTAGTTCCAAAACAGCGACGTTTAAACACCATAGATCTTTCTGACTCTCTCTTCCTTCAGTTCTGAGTTAAAGTGAATTCCTTTGCCAAAATCCCAAAGTATTAATCCTGTCAGAGCCAAAAGAAGTGTAAACCATGGCAAATCTTTAAGAATAGCTATAGATCAGATTTTAAACTCAAAAAGAAGTTTTTTATAGGGGCTTTTTTTTTAAGTTAAAAACAGATCATCCTTAAGTTAAAAAATGATTCACTTTGTTGTAAAGCAGAAACTAACACACCATTGTAAACCAATTATACTCCAATAAAGGTGTTTAAAAAAAATGGTACTCTCCCATAAAGTGGGAATATTGGAAGAATTAAGAGTTTGAATAATAAAAATGTATAAAGTAACAGTCTCTTCGGAAGAAAGCATTCCACTAATACCGAGCTGTGTCTGTGTACTAATTCCCTGTTGAAATGCCCAGTGCAACCAGATCCACCCATTGGCCTCAACTGGACTTTACTGAACATCAGCTTAACAGGGATTCATGCAGATATCCAAGTGAGATGGGAACCACCACCAAATGCAGATGTTCAGAAGGGATGGATAGTCCTGGAGTATGAACTGCAATACAAAGAAGTAAATGAGACCCAGTGGAAAATGGTAAGATATCATTACATCTCACATTTAAAAATCCTTCGACTTTTCTTCTTTTTAGTTTAACAACCCCCTCTCATTTATAGACTTCCTTTTGACTTAATACCACATGCCCATGTTATATGCTCTCTAATTTCTTATTTGAGAAAACTGGATATAATCAGTAAAATATCATCTTGGAATTCTTTAAGACAGCAAATGCGTACATGGAGTTTTATACAGAAACCTATGGAAGGAAAGGAAAACTATATTTCCCCAGTCATCATTGGTATCCAGTTCAACTTCAGAACAATATCGTGCACTCTAGCCAGTTAGCTGCCTTTGAGGGTGTGGCTAAACATGGGAAGGGTTATGATCAAGGTCAACAGTGAGCTGTGGCTAAATATTCTCCCATGATTTTACTTGCTACTCTTCACCAGACCCCCATTAAAATAAGTTCTTGAGTGACTCCAGGAGGGAAACAGAGGGGGAGGGAATCGATCCCCTAGAGGTTTCAGAAGGATGTTTTGTTACATACCTCAAGGGAGAATCAAGCGAAGAGGTTTTTACGTAAGCAAGTGGCATGGTACTGGTTGACCTCTGAACCCCACACTTCCTTGCCAAGTGTATGGGAACTGGGCACTTCGATAAAGTCCACATGGCACACAACAAGAAGAAACCAGGATTATCGTGCTGCTCCCAATGTAACCAATTCTAAATCAGTCTAGCCACAGCCACAGGCCTGGCCAAGCCAAGTGGTTTCTGGCTGGTCACCAGGTCGTGCCCAGCAGCCCGGCACAGCCTCACTCCCAGAATTTTGAGACACCGGGCCCTGTCCATTCCGTGAACTGCTGAGGAAGAAGCCAGTTTTGTCATTAGAGGAAAGTTAAGTTTAGAGCAGCTGTGCACAGTTAAATATTGGGCTTCAAGGTTCTGTTTGCAGAATCATTTTAATTTAGATATCTGTTCCATGACTTGGTGCAGAAAAGCTTGGCTGGATGCTGAGTCAAACAAGGCTTTCTAAATTCAAGCTTCACTCAAACATTTGTTCAGCAACCAGGTATTGAAATAACTACCGTGCACGAGGCACGGTGCTAGGCACCCCAGGGCAGCAGTTCCCAAAGTGTAAACTTTGGACCCCTGAGGGTCCCTGGGACCCTTTCAGGGAGTCCACAAGCTCAAGACTATTTTCATAATAATACTAGAATGTTCTTTCCTTTTTTCACTGTGTCAAGATTTACACAGATAGTACAAACGCAATGGTGGAAACACTGCTGCTGCCTGAGCACAAATCAAGGCAGTAACTCCAAATCGTACTGACAGTCACTGTATTCTTCACCACCGTGCACTCACAGTTAAGAAGCGGTGAGCAGGGCTGGGGGGAGGTGGTTTCACATAAGAATGTTCTCAATGAAGCTGCATGCATATATTATTTTATTAAATCACGACTTCTGAGTATGTAGCTTTTTAATCTTCTGTGTGACACATGGGAAGTACACATAAAGCACTGCAGCTACATACTGAGGTGTGGTTGGTTATCTTGAGAAAAGGCATTTAAACACCTGAGTTGCCTGCTAGAACTAGCTGCGTTTTGCTTGGAATACCATTTTTACTTTGAAAGAATAACTGATAAACAGCTGGATGGCTTTTCATATTTGAGTTGGCAAATACTTGGCAACATTTCTTGAAAAAGTGAACTTAACACTTAAGAAAAACAATTGACAGTATTTGTTGCCAAGGAGAAAATTTGAGCTTTCAAGGTTAAATTCGAATTTTGGAAAACTTGCCATCTGCAGCTGTGAGCTTGATAGCTTCCCCAACCTTTGAAGATCTCCTAATGAGATCAACGGTGATATAAGCAAAAGTGAGGCTTTTTTAAAATATTGTATAGTGAAATGTGTGAACATTTAGAAAATCTGCATAACTCAGTGAACAGTATTTTCCAAATGACCAGTACGTACTGTAACCAAAACCACACATGGGGAAATGATCCATTCAAAGTACTAGATGGAATGGTGGATTTTAATATAATGAAGTATGAAAGATTCATTGATAGAGTTTCAGATTCCACATTGCAACTAACCTTTAAGAAAATACCACTTACTGAGTTTTCTTGTTGGTGTTAAAGAAGAATATATACAATCATCTGAAAAGAGTATTAAAATATCTCTTCCATTTCCTAACTATATATCTGTGAGACCAAGTTTTATTTATGCACCTCAACCAAAACAACACATCCTAGCAGTTTTAATTCAGAGACAGTTGTAAAAATACAACCATTAAGCCAGATATTAAAGAGATTAGCAAAAATGTAAATCAATGTCATTTTTCTCACTATAATTTTATTCTTTCAGAAAGTACAATAATTTTTATAAAAATGTTAACATAAAATCTGTTATTTTAATTTTGAATTTAGTATTTTTAAAATTCTCATTTTCAGTTTCTAGTATGGTAAATAGTGAAAGGTATAACCCAAAAAACCCAAAATCTTTAGGATTCTCAATCATTTTTAAGAGTGTGGAGGAGACCTGAAACAAAAAAAGTTTGACAACCTAGAAAAAGCAAAGATGTAAATCAGAACATTAGCACACAAACTGAGTGCTAATAGTTTGAACACAGAAAGTCCATGGCCTGTAGTTCTGTCCCAGCCGAGGCACTGATAGGAATCACACACCCTGAGCCAGATGCGTGGGAGCATGGGACTCGGTCGACCATTCAGGGCTGCATCCCAACTTGGCTTTGCGGCACTTTTCACTGCACCCCTGCTAAATCTCATCAGGTAAGTCCAAAGGGGTCAATTAACTTTTACTTTACTTACCTTTTATAAATGAAGTTACAAATTCATGATATTTATAAGTTTGGTAATTTGCAAGGTATCTCAGAATTGTCATGAGTATCAAGGGCCCATCTATAGAATTGACCTCTCTTGAAGAACTTACATTCTACTTGGTTATGAGAACAAGAGGCATAAGCATAAAAAGAAGAGAGGGTTGTAAGTCAAGGGGGAAAAGGCTAATGTTTGTTGCTTGTATCAGGAATTCACGTTACATTTGACAATTTTGAATTTGGCATTACTATGCCCATTTTTAATTTATTAAACACATTTTGAATATAAAAGTAATTCTAATGACCATGTAGTTGCTTACAACTATTTACCTGCTAAACCAAGTTAAGAATTTGTTTGGTTTTTTTTTTTTTTTTTAAGACTTAATGGGTGGCGTAGAATTATCCACAATGTGTTGGCCATCTCTTGAGTACCCACTATATACCTGGTATTGTGCTGGGCTTTGGAAATGTAAAGAAAATGAAGGCATCGTTTGCCCCCAGGGAATTTGCAGTATAATATAGAAATTAGAGCAATGAATTAAAAGAAGTAATATGTGTACTACCTGGCAGGATGGAGTAGGGATAATTGCCAGAAGAGGCTTCTTAGAATATCAGCAGTACTTGCACTGAGAATTAGCCAAGAATAGGCTTTGCCTCATAGGAAGGTGGCAGGGAGCAGGGCGGGTATTAGGAGCCCTGTGAGCAAATTTGAGTTTGGTGTGGCTGGTGTGGAAGGGTGAGGGAAGATGGAGAGGGGGCTATGGGTCGAATGGCCGAGGGTCCCTTTTTGGTTTTGTTATTAATGAAATCTGTAAAGAAATAGTACTGGTGACAGTGACAGAGAAATGAGGGCTTCAAGAATGGAAACACAGGCTTTTTAAAATAGTTTAAGAAAAATAATAAAATGAATTTAATATTCAGAAGCATTTTAGGTATACAAATATTCCATATATTAAGCATCTATAAAAGATGCAAACTAACCATTCTGTGTACATAGGAGAAAAAAAGAGGTACTTTGTGAGTAGAAACTAACTGAGGTGAAGGGAAATTTGTTTTAGAAGTTGAAGGCCCAGGCTCTGACTTAATAAATTATGAGAATCTTATTTATGTGATAAAACCCATGCTGTTGAAGAAGAGAATGTTCCTAATTTTCTGTAAACAGGAACAAGATGTTCTACCCCAAAACACAAGAAAACCACATATTGTGTACCTGCTTTGAATATGTGACTTGGAGGAAAACACCATCATTAGTTGTGTCTAACCTCTTTGATAGCAACATGTCTTAAAAGTCTAATAGCCTCACCTACCCTTCCCTGGGAAGGTAAAGGAACATCCTGGCCTTCAGGATTGTGGAATCCTGTTGGTTGTTACCAAAGGCCTCCAGTGACTTTTCTTCACAAATTTTGAATAGCAAACTATTTTGAGGTGGCTTTAAGCCTTCTAGAGCAAGCTGATAGAATTGTTTGAAAGTTTAATTAAGACAACTGTGATTTTTCTAGGACACTTTCCAATTCTGTGATCATATGAATGACTACCCAGGATTTCCAAAGAACAGATATAGATATAGGAAATATGTTTGTTTCTTTCTGTTCTGATGTCTTTATATAAGAATGTAATATCCCAAAGGGTAGGCAATGTATCTGTAATCTTTATAATTCTGCCATTCACTATAATTCTATTATGCTTTGATCTTAGTAGAATATCTGACAGCCTAATGCAAAGATATAGCTGCATTTCTTTAAACAAGTCTATCATATCTTTGTGTTTATACCAAAATAAATTTGAAGACTACTCCCCATTTAAAATGATTCTTTTTTTTACCATTTTTTAATTGAAGTATAGTTCATTTACAATGTTGTGTTACTAAGTTATTTGCCTTGATCTTTCTCTAAATAGCAAACTCCACCAGCGCATTTTAAAACATTGCCTACTTTACAGAAATTCATTTTGAATACACATGTGGAAACACCTCATAGAGCTTATTGCATTGAGTTGTTGACTCTCTAACCAGTAAGTTTTATATTTTGTCTTGAAAGATGGACCCTGTATTGTCAACATCAGTTCCAGTGTACTCATTGAGACTGGATAAAGAGTATGAAGTGCGTGTGAGATCCAGACAACGAAACTCTGAAAAATATGGCGAGTTCAGTGAGGTGCTCTTTGTAACACTTCCTCAGATGAGACCATTTGCATGTGAAGAAGGTAAACCTAAGAGATTAAGATGGAAGCCAACATGGCTTTTGTCAATATACAGGGATTGTTAGGGTGTTGTCCAGATCAAGATACATTAGCATCAATTGTCAGGATGAGGGACCTTGAGTTCACTGCCTGTAACTGCCTTCCTCCATTACAAAAGAGGAAGGAGGATTTCATTTTTGAATTATTCAGGAAAAGTCATGGGGTAGGTGCAAGTTAAAGAGCAGAAGATACACTAAGCTATTGATGGAGGGGGTGGGGTATCTCTGGATAACAGAATTTCAGGTGATTCTTTTCTTCATTTCTTTATTTCCTTGTTTCTGTATTTCTAGTATTTTCTATGAGTTTGTTTTGCACTTATAATCAGAAAAAAATGTTTCTCATATACACAGTGAAGAAATTCTGAATCTGGATGGATGGCTATCTATGTGACATCTTAGAGAATTCCTAATATTGAGTCAGCATAAGTAGTCAATGGCAGGTGTTTATTGGTTTTAGAAAGTTTGGGTGTGGCTTTTACCTGGAGGAAGGCTTAATAAATCGTGTGCTAGATACGCTCAAGAGTGACAAGGAATATTTGAAGATCCTATATAAAAGAAATATAAACATATAGTTTAAAGAAATGAGACCTATGAATTCAGAATAAAAGAATTTAAATTTTTGGATACAGAAATAAAGAAGGCTGCCTAACAATGAATAGTAAGTGTATAAAATATTATCACTCCCAAATGGGAATTGGCTATAACTCATCCCCATTAAAAACAGAAGGTTTACAGTGCCACATGAGGGTCTGAGGTTTGTTAACGAAACAATCACAAGCTACAGAGAAATTAAATTTATATTTCTGCACCTACAGTACAGGTAGAATCTGTGATACTATATAACACAAATGAAAATGTCTATAGCACCATCTTTTCTAAGCTCTACTCAACAGGCTTGTTGTTTCAAATGATACTTGATACAACGAAATTCAGGTTAAAAGCACATTTGCCACATGCCCTTTAAGCTTATTGTAATGGCATTTAATTCCTTAACAAAAACATTTTTTAAACAAGCTTTTCTTCTCTGTTAAAAAAGAAAAAAATTAAACTCTCGCTTTATATTATGTTCCTGAGTATATCATTGATATAAAATTATAGGTACCACAAGATACAAAGAAACGATATTCTCTCCCCCACTAATTCTTTATAATATGCATAACATCTCCCTTGGGGCTTTTAATAACTGAATAAGAAAATAAATAAAATATTACAGCATAAAAGCCTACTTTCATAAAGCAACGTGAAGGTAAATTCCACCTTAAAAGCAGTCAACCTCTGCCACTGTGGCACTTGTTCTTGAGAAATGAAATAGAAGGTTTACAGACTCCCACAAATTTGCTACAAATTATACTAAAATCTAAAGATGGGAGTCCTAGTACTGATCTTCTTCTGTCAAACAACAATTTTTTAAGCAGAAAATGTATGCCCTGCATGTCTAAAAAGTTTCAGTAATGATTCAAAAGTAAAACTCTGCCCCATCTTTTTGATGGATCCTCAATCTGGAGGATAAAAAATATCACCACACCTTTAAAAAAAAAAAAAAGAACCAAGTGGACATTATTTAGGAAAAGTAGTATATTAACAGGCATCAATTTTTCCTAGAGCTGAAGCATTTTAATGACATACCCTGAATACATAAGATGCTTAAAGCAGTTTGTTTGTATAAACATGCTTAAACTGTATGCTGTTCCTTTACTTTGATTTTCTTTTTTTTGGTACATGAAAGGATCTGAAGAAGTGGATAGAGGTGTTCTTGGAACAGAAAATACTCCTAAGTCATTGCACTCTATTTCAGTGGTTATCAGATGAAATCACTGACTCTACTAGATGAATACAGATTAGGAAATTTTTTTATGTGGAACAGGAGAGTGAAATGTAAACTTCAACTATTCATAGTTCTGTGAGTGAGATGTTCTTCTTATGTTTTTCAGATTTCCGGTTTCCATGGTTCTTATTTATTATCTTTGGAATATTTGGACTAACGGTGACATTATTCTTATTCATATTTTCTAAACAACAAAGGTAAGTGTGATATACTTTGATATGTTTTTGCCATTTAGCAAACATACACGTTTCCATTTATTGTTTGATGTTTTCTTTTGTGAATCGTGAGTGAAATATTTCAACCCAGTGAAACATTAGCTCCAGTTATACATTTACCACTTTATTGTGTTCATCATAGAGACATCACAGGTCTCAGTTCTATCTGGAAAGTTACATAGGACATTAAGAGGCTGAGGCTAGTGACTATACACCTTGTGATATGTACCTCGTCAAAGTTCTGAAAAAATTGGCTCATTTATTCCAGGACCATAAGGCAGCAGTGAGGCTTTGGCTGAGTCTGACACAGTCCTAATGTAAGAGGAAATTTAAGTGGTAAACTAAAGCCACCTGGATAATTCAATCTAATAAAACCTTTTTTGACTTCATATGATGTTGATTTTAAGTAAATTTGGGTTTTATTGAAATTGCTTGGATAGTTATGATTTGGTATTTCATCTGCTTTTGTCAACACAGATAAAATTCTAAGCTTGAAGAGATTCCATTCTGCATTCTCTTGCAGTCAAAAGGCAGGTTCCAGTTATTATTCTGCCACTGCTGTTTAATCTCATTTGAGTCCCTTAATCTCTCTAGGCCTCCATGTTCTCATGGGTAATTTGAGGGTGTTGGATTATATGACCTTTAAATTTCCCTTAAGCTGTAAAGACTAATTATTCTATTTTCATTCTTGAAAGACAGTACAGACTACAGGAACTTTTAATACAAAACATAGGAAAAGTTACTGGTACTAGTCGCCAGTTTTCTTACATTTAGAATATTCTTTTTTTTTTTACATCTTTATCGGAGTATAATTGCTTTACAATGGTGTGTTAGCTTCTGCTGTATAACAAAGTGAATCAGCTATATGCATATGTATATCCCCATATCTCCTCCCTCTTGCATCTCCCTCCCACCCTCCCTATCCCACCCTTCTAGGTGGTCACAAAGCACCAAGCTGATCTCCCTCTGCTATGCGGCTGCTTCCCACTATCTATTTTACATTTGGTAGTGTATATATGTCCATGCCACTCTCTCACTTCGTCCCAGCTTACCCTTCCCCCTCCCCGTGTCCTCAAGTCCATTCTCTACATCTGCATCTTTATTCCTGTCCTGCCCCTAGGTTCTTAAGAACCTTTTTTTTTTTAAGATTCCATATATATGTGATAGCATACAGTATTTGTTTTCCTCTTTCTGACTTACTTCACTCTGTAGGACAGTCTCTAGGTCCATCCACCTCACTACAAATAACTCAGTTTCATGTCTTTTTATGGCTGAGTAATATTCCATTGTATATATGTGCCACATCTTCTTTATCCATTCATCCGATGATGGACACATAGGTTGTTTCCATCTCCTGGCTATTGTAAATAGAGCTGCAATGAACATTGTGGTACATGACTCTTTTTGAATTATGGTTTTCTCAGGATATATGCCCAGTAGTGGGATTCCTGGGTCATATGGTAGTTTAGAATATTCTTTAAGTCCCATGGGTTAATCTTGCCCCTTCTCCTAGAATTAGGGTAGCTAACACTGTTTGCCTGGGACTTTCCTGGTTTTAGCACTGAAAGTCCTGTGTCCAGGCAAACCAAGACAGTTGGTTACTCTAGCTAGAACTAAAGACAAGTCTCCAGGCGAAGCCAAGACGCATCTACAAATCAAAAGAGGATCTATGTGAATATATTGTAAAAGCTTTTTAATTTGTATTTTGAAGCTGTATAGCATTTGTAAACATCAAAATAGAGTGTCATTCTCAGAATTCTAGAGTTCCAGAGTGTCAAGCATGCTAAAAGTCTCCAAGTGAATGTAGGAAGGGTTATTTTAGGAGTTTCATCTCCAATTTTATAATGTAAGCTCAGGAGAAAACAAAATTCGCTCTGTAGAATTTTATTTTCTATCTAACTTTCTAGCAACATTACTATCTTAGAAACACAAGTATTATAAAGCAGGATAACACACTTTTCAATTGCGGGGCGGGGTGGAGTTAGTAAATAAGTAAATTATTTAGGATTTTAAGTAATTTATATATTTTAGCAATGCCAACAGCAAAGGAGTCAAATTATTCTGTTGATTAATTTGAATTCACTGATCTGTACAGTTAGGTGATGGGCTCATTTATGTGTACCTGCAGTAGATAAACCCACTATGTACATAACGGAATTTACTTTTAACATTAGTTGTCAATTTCGAGTCATCATGAAGACCAAGCAAATTTGTTATGTTGCTTAAAATTACATTAGTTAACAATATTTGAAAGAAAAAATAATCCTCCAAATAGAATTTCAAAGGAAATATATTAACCTTTGTCTAAAAGAATGTTTTCTATGAATAATGAAGTTCTTAACTATGACGCTTGGTCAAAATCACCAAATTGGGAAAAATTTTGGAAATCTATTTGTACTGCCAAATTTCCTGTTCTAAATTAAGTTTTCCGTGGAAAACAATTAACCTTTCTTTTCTCATGTACCCATAAAAACCCTTATCATTGTCTAAATTTCCATGTTCTAATGAAAGTAGGAAATGGTAGAAAATAGCTGACAGCAAGTGTGGAAAGAACAATTAAAATGAAACTCAAAGAATGAGGTGCTATGCCAGTTTACCCCAGAACTTCAGGACTGTAAAGGACTTCAGGTGCTCTTTGCTTGAGGTTTTGTTGGTTCACAAACCAAGCCACTGCTCCCTTTCTTAGTCCAGATCATTGAGTCAACTCTAGCAAAATTTGTAGTGTAATTTGGATTTGAATAAAATGATAGAAAAATCAGAAACGTAGTTTCATGCCAGTTTATCTTTATTCTACACTCTGTGGCTCCCACAATATGGCCTACTCCAGCCTTCAAGCTATGACTAATCCAGGAAGAAATAACTGAATCAACATAAAACAGAAGTGACAAACTGGCAACCTGAAAGCCAAATTCAGCCCACAGATCCATGTTTTGTTGTTTTATGTTCTTTTGATTTTGGAGTAAAGGTTTTCCTGCAAAGTGTTTATAAAACAGGGAATTTTCACACAAAAATCCAGATTACCAGATTACCTTTAAAAACAGAGATCTAGTGAAACTGGGCTGATATTCCTGCATGTCAACATGTGCTGAAGCAGAGGACCAACAACCATCCCATTTGCAAAGGGCATATGTTCTCTGTCACCATTCCCATCCCTCCCTATGACTTTGTACCAGGCCCGCTATATTCAGTTGCATGACTGGCTTGGGCCCTCCAAGCTGCAGGGTCTGCCACCCTGGCCTAAAGTCAACCACAACTCCTAGAAAGCTATCAACAAGTACCTAAATGCATCATTCTCTTCAAAAAACAAAAAAGAGGCACCCATACAAAGTAAAGCGTTAGACATTTAGGAAACTTTGCCTCCTGTAACTGGGGTTTTGTTGCATTTTTCTATGTGTTTGAACCTGTGAACTATTCATTTAGAGATGCAGAACCAAGTTTAACCCATCAGCGTGACAGAAGGCAAAGGGCCCAGGTTTTGGAGTCAGCTGCTTTGGATTTGAGCTCCAGCTGAGCCAAGTATTAGTGTGTGATTTGAACATGTTCCTTAAATATCTAAATCTTTCCACAGATAATGTCTTCTGCCTCCCTGGTAGTGGTAAGGATTAAATGAAATGTTTAGTGCAAGCCTTGACAAAGTTGTTTTAAAAATAACCAAACAGTAAATTTTTAGGCTTTCTAGGCTATGCAATCTCTGTCACCACTACTCAGCTCTGCCACTGTGGCATGAAAGCAGCCATAGATGATATGCAAACTATTTTACATAGATAATATGTAAAATGAACATGACCATGTTCCAATAAAACTTTATTTACAAAAACAGAGGGCAGACCACATTTGGCCCATAGACCGTAATTTGCCGACCCAGAGTCTAGTGCAAGATACATCTCACAGTGGTTTATCAGAAGCATTCAAAAATGGTAGCAGTTATTAATAACATGAATTTTTTCTATAACTTCTGTTCATCAGTAACAATTTAACACTGTCCCACAGAGTAAACCTAGTGGAGTCTACTCAAACACAACTTACAGAATTTGGCTTATTCCTTGGATTATGTAAAAAGGTGGTGGAAACATTCAAAAAACGTTCATTCACACTAAGTAGACTATCAGCTGATGCCCAAAAATCAGATTGGAATGGATAATCTCTGAGCTTTATTCCAGAGCCACAATGTTAATTTTTTTTCTTTTAATTGAAGTATAATTGCATTACAATGTTGTGTTAGTTTCTCGTGTACAGTGAACTGAATCAGCTATATGTATATATATATATAGCCCCTCCCTCTTGAACCTCCCTCCCCCCCATCCCACCCATCTAGGTTATCACAGAGCACCGAGCTGAGCTCCCTGTGCTATACAGCAGGTTCCCACTAGCTGTCTGTTTTACACATGGTAGTGTATTGATGTCAAACCTAATCTCCCAATTCATCCCACCCTCCCCTTCCCCACTGTGTCCACACGTCCATTCTCCACATCTGCCTTTCTATTCCTGCCCTTCAGATAGGTTCACCTGTACCATTTTTATAGATTCCACATATATGCATTAATATACAATATTTGTTTTTCTCTTTCTGACTTACTTCACTCTGTATGACAGACTCTAGGTCCATCCACATCTCTGCAAATGACCCAATTTTGTTCACTTTTATGGCTGAGTAATATTGTATGTATGTACCACATCTTCTTTATCCATTTGTCTGTCATTGGACATTTAGGTTGTTTCTATGTCCTGGCTATTGTAAATAGTGCTGCAATGAACATTGTGGTACATGAATCTTTTTGAATTATGGTTTCTCAGGGTACATGCCCAGTAGTGGGATTGCTGGGGCATATGGTTGTTCTATTTTTAGTTTTTTAAGGAACCTCCATGCTGTTCTCCATAGTGGCTGTACCAATTTACATTCCCACCAACAGTGCAAGAGGGTTCCCTTTTCTCCACACCCTCTCCAGCATTTATTGTTTGTAGATATGTGATGATGGCCATTCTGACTGGTGTGAGGTGATACCTCATTGTAGTTTTGATTTGCATTTCTCTAATAATTAGTGATGCTGAGCAGCTTATCATGTGCCTCTTGGCCATTGGTATGTCTTCTTTGCTGAAATGTCTTCTGCCCATTTTTTGATTGGGTTGTCTTTTTGATATTGAGCTGCATGAGCTGTTTGTGTATTTTGGAGATTAATCCTTTGTCCATTGCTTCATTTGCAAATATTTTCTCCCATTCTATGTGTTGTCTTTTTGTCTTGTTTATGGTTTCCTTTGCTGTGCAAAAGCTTTTAAGTTTCATTAGGTCCCATTTGTTTGTTTTTATTTTCATTACTCTAGAAGGTGGGTCATAAAAGATCTTGCTGTGATTTATGTCAAAGAGTGTTCTGCCTGCGTTTTCCTCTAAGGGTTTTATAGTGTCAGGTCTTACATTTAGGTCTTTAATCCACTTTGAGTTTATTTTTGTGTACGGTGTTAGGGAGTGTTCTTATTTCACATTTTCTTTTACATGTAGCTGTCCAGTTTTCCCAGCACCATTTATTGAAGAGGCTGTCTGGTGTCCATTGTATATTCTTGCCTCCTTTGTCATAGATTAGGTGACCATAGGTGCATGCATTTATCTCTGGGCTTTCTATCCTGTACCATTGATCTGTATTTCTGTTTTTGTGCCAGTACCATACTGTCTTGATTACTGTAGCTTTGTAGTATAGTCTGAAGTTGGGGAGCCTGATTCCTCCAGCTCTGTTTTTCATCCTCAATATTGCTTTGGCTAGTCGGGGTCTTTTGTGCTTCCACACAAGTTGTATAATTTTTTGTTCTAAATCTGTGAAAAATGCCATTGGTAATTTGACAGAGATTGCACTGAACCTCTAGATTTCTTTGGGTAGCGTAGTCATTTTCATAGTATTGATTCTTCCAATCCAGGAGCATGGTATATCTCTCCCTCTGTTTGTGTCATCTTTGATTTCTTTCATCAGTGGTTTAGAGTAGTATCTGAGCTTTATTCCACAGCCACAATGTTGACTTTAAAACAAAAACTCTATTAATGAAATAAATAAATGACTTACTCAAACTTATTCAAAAAATGGTTTATTGAGCACCTTCTCTGTGCCAGGAATTGTTCTAAGTGCTGGGGATACAATCAGGCACAAGACAAGCAGGATAGATATTGAAATCAATTGTGGTCAAAAAGTAACTTAAATATTTGGAACAGAAATTTTAAGTGCATCATAGACTTGTGTATACAAATCCATACTGATTAGAGATAGTTCAAATTTAGTCTGTCCTAACTGAAATGAACTGTGCAATAACACCCTGGTTAATGAGATTGCCTTGGATAATCTTATAATTCATGTAGATTTGTGGTATGAACTTATACCAACCCACTCTTTTTTAAGGGTACAGATAATGTTGGCTCCACATAGATTGGCTCTTTCTCCTCCCCTTCCCTTCCTCTACAAATTACAGATGAGATGTATATTAAAATTACCTCCCTTATAACTGACATGGAAATTGGCTTCAGATGGAATTAAATTTCTAACTTCTAATACTAAGACTGTCTATCAATAAAAGACATTATAAAAGAAAAGTTATAAGAAAACTGCATTTTACTTAAATTGGTTTCAGATGAGGGTTTTTTGTTGTTTTTTTTTGTCTTTTTCTTCTATAGTTTTGCCTTGTCATTTACTGCTTAATGCTTTCCTCCTCTTTCTTTCCTCCTCTTTCTCAGATTATACTTATTCCAAATTTTCTGTTACTTTAATAATACTGTCAACATTTTATTTCTATCTTTTGAAATGAGAATGTATAACTGACATCAAAACAAAATTTTGTTTTCAAGGATTAAGATGTTGATTCTACCCCCAGTTCCAGTTCCAAAGATTAAAGGAATTGATCCAGATCTCCTCAAGGTAATTAATAAATTATCTAAGTTATACATAACACTAATTAAATGATACCTGAACAATAATGTCTTATGTTGAGACCTTTTGCAAGCTATATGTATTACATTTTATTTTTTGTATTCCTTCTGGAAAAAAAGTTTTTAAATAATACATCTCAAAATTATGAAAATGTCTTACGTATTTAAAAGTTCTTGACTACTGGATCAAGATGGCAGAGCAGTAGAATGTGAAGCTCACTGCCTCACACAAATACATCAAAAACACATCTACATGTGGAACAATTCTTACAGAATATCTACTGAACGCTGGCAGAAGACGTCAGACCTCTAAAAGGGCAAGAAAATTTCTATGTAACCAGGTAGGACAAAAGAAAAGAAAGGAATTGGGAAGGGACTTGCACCCCACCCCTTGGGAGAGAGCTCCACCCCTTGGGAGAGAGCTGTGAAAGAGGAAAGATGCCTGCACCCTGGGAAGTCCCCTCACCATCATGGAGATCAGCTGGGACAGAGTGGGAGTTTTAGAGCCTTGGAGGAGAATGCAGGAACCGGTTTTGCAGCAGCTAGAATGGAGGGAGACCGGCAGACAGTCAGTGCCACCGCTCAGCACTCCCCGGCCGGAGACACACGTCCATCAGTGCGGGCAGGGACCAGGTGCTGAAGCTCAGGCTTCAGAGATTAGACCCAGGGAGAGAACTCAGGTGGTGGGCTGTGCAGAAAGAGCCTGAAGGGGCTGGAGTTTGGTGCAACTGCACCAGAGGATGTACGCAGAGGAAGACTGGGCTACCTTAGAGGCCAGGTACCATTGTTTGGGTGGTGTGCGAGAGGAGAGGCAAGACCTGCCATTGCAGCCTTTCTCCCTGCATGTGCCCTCAGGTTGCAGGACACTGCCTACACAAGCTACAGGAGTGATCACAAGCCACCACCACCCCCAACCCCCATGCTTTAAGAGCTGTCATGAGCTACCACCCTCGCAGACTCCAGGAGTAGTTGTGAACCACCTCCCATTGTGTGCTCCAGGGATGCGCATGAGCTGCTACCACCACAGAGAATGCCAGGACCAGGCACCAGCCACTGCATCTGCACACGCCCTATCAAGAGAATAATGACTAGCACATGCTGAGGAAAGAGGTGACAGGCATCAATACTAAAAACAGCCCTTGCACCAAAATATTAAATCCACACAAACTACACCAGGACACTCCCACATATAAATAGCCCTCCAAGACCACAGTAGATCATTGTTTCTCCTAAACTCACAGAATAAGAGAAATATAAGGTAAAATGAAGAAGCAGAGGAACCACTCCCAGTTAAAAGACCAAGAGAATTCCCCTGAAAGAACAATGAAACAGACCTCTTCAGTCTAATAGACACCGAATTCAAAAAGGAGATAATGAAAATACTGAAGGAATTAAGAAATGCTATTGACAGAAATGCAGAGTACTATAAAAAGGAACCAAAAAAATTTTAAAACTCATTTGCCAAGATGAAAACTGAACTAAAGGCAATGAATAGCAGAATGAATAATACATAAAAATGAGTAAATGACCTGGAAGATAGAATAATGGAAATCACCCAATCAAGACAGCAGACAGAAAGCCAAATGAAAGCAATATAAGAGACCTATGGGCTAAAATAAAGCATGCCAATCTATGCATAATAGAGACCCCAGAATGGGAAGAAAGAGAAAAGGGTATTGAAAATGTATTTGGGAAGCTGAAAACTTCCCAAACGTAAAGAAAGAAACATCTCCAGGTACAGGAAGCAGAGGGTCCCAAACAAGGTAAAACCAAACAGACCTACACCAAAATTATAATTAAAATGGCAAAAGTTAAAGAGAGGATTCTAAAGGCAGCAAGAGAAAAGTTAATTACAAGGGAACCCCCATAAGGCTATCAGCTGATTTCTGTACAGAAACTTTGCAGGCCAGAAGGAAGTGGCAAGATACATTCAAAGTCCTGAAGGGGAAAAAACTGCAACCTAGGATACTCTACCCAGCAAGATTATTATTTACAGTAGAAGGAGAAAGAATTTCTTAGACAAGCAAAAACTAAAAGAATACAGCAATACTAAACCTATCCTAAAGGAAATATTGAAAGGTCTTCTGTAAATAGAAAAGAAGAATATATAGGAAAGAGAAAATCACAATTGGAAAGAAAATCACCTAAATAAGCCAGTACATGGATTTTAAAAATATCAAAATAAATTTCTGTGAAATTTATTATGATAACCACAGTGAACAGCAAAAGGATGAACATGAAGATGTAAAAGAGGACATCAAAATCATATAATGTGGGGGAGAAGAGTAAGAAAGTGTAAATTTTTTTTATCATTTCCTAGAATGTGTTTGAGCCTATATGATTACCAGTCTAAGGCAAGTATCAATAGCTATAGGATGGGGTTTACATACTTGAGAAACAAGGTAACCACAAATCAAAAACATACAATAGACTCAGAGAAACCAAAAAGAAGTACAATACAAAAGAAAAATCATCAAACCACAAAAGGGAAAAACAAAAAGAAAAAAGGGACAAAGAAGAAATTAAAAATCAACAGGAAAGCAAGGCTTAAAATGGCAATAAATACATATCAATAATTACCTTAATGTCAATGGACTAAATGCTCCAATCAAAAGACACAGAGAGGAAGATTGGATAAAAAAACAAGAGCCTACAATATGCTGCCTACAAGAGACCCACTTTAGAGCAAAGGACACAGATTGAAAGTGAGGAGATGGAAAAAGATATTTCATGCAAATGGAAATGACAAGGTGGGGATCACAATACACGTATCAGACAGAATAGACTTTAAAACAAAGGCCATAAAGAAAAATAAAGAAGGACACTTTTACACTCATCAACATATATGCACCTAATATAGGAGCACCCAAATACATAAAACAAATACTAACAGACATAAAGGGAGAAACTGACAGGAATACAATAATAGTAGGAGACTTTAACACCCCACTCACATCAGTGCACAGATCTTCTAGAAAGAAAATAAGGCAACAGAGATCCTAAATGATACAATAGAACAGATAAACCTAATTGATATTTTTAGGACATTACATCCAAAAAAACAGAATATACATTCTTTTTGAGTGCACATGGAACATTCTCTAGGATTGACCACATACTAGGGTACAAAACAGACCTCAACAAACTTGAGTATAGAAATTATCTCAAGCATCTTTTCTGACCACAGCAGCATGAAACTAGAAATCAACCACAGAAAAAGAAAATGACTACTAAACAATATGCTACTAAAAAAACGATTACCAAACAATATGCTACTAAAAAACCAATCAGTCAACAATGAAATCAAAGAGTAAATTAAAAAATACCTTGAGAAAAATTACCATGAAAACACCACTGTACAAAATCTATGGGATGCAGCAAAAGCAATTCCTAGAGGGAAGTTCATAGTGATACAGGCCTTCCTCAAAAAAAACAAGAAAAGTCTCAGATAAACAACCTAATCTACCACTTAAAAGAAGTAGAAAAAGAACAAACAGAACCTAAAATCAGCAGAAGGATGGAAATAATCATAGTGATTAAAAAGTAGAAAAAAATCAATAAAACCCAGAGCTGGTTCTTTGAAAGGGTAAACAAGACTGACAAACCTCTGGCCAGGCTCACCAAGAAGAAAAGAGAGAGAACCCAAATAAACAAAATAAGAAATGAAAAAGGAGACATAACAACTGATATCACAGTAATACAGAAACCATAAGGGAATGCTATGACCAATTATATCTCAACAAATTCAACAACCTAGAAGAAAAGGACAAGTTTCTAGAAACATACAGCCCACCAAAATTGAATCAACAATAAGTAGATAATTTGAACAGACTAATCATTACAGGTGAAATAGAATATGTAATTAACTCCCTACAAACAAAAATCCAGGACCAGATGTCTTCAAAGGCAAATTCTACCAAACATACAAAGAACTCACACCAGTCCTTCTCAAACTCTTCCAAAGAATTGAAGAGGAGGGAACACTCCCAAAGACATTCTATGAAGCCACCATCACCCTGATACCAAAACCAGACAAAGACACCACCAAAAAAGAAAATTACAGGCCAATAACTTTGATGAATATAGACACAAAAATTCTCAACAAAATCCAACAACACATAAAAAAAGATCATACACCATGACCAAGAGTCATCCCACGTTCACAAGCATGGTTCAGCATACACAAATCAATGTGATACATCATATAAACAAAAGAGAAGACAAAAACCACATGATCATCTCAAAAGATGCAGAAAGAACATTTGACAAAATTCCACATCCATTCATGATAAAAAACTCTTACCAAAGTGGGTACACAGGGAACATATCTCAACATAGTAAAAGCTATGACAAACCCACAGCCAATATAATACTCAAGGGTGAAAAGCTGAAAGACTCCCTGCTAAAATCTGGAACAAGACAAGGATGCCCACTCTTACCTCTTCTATTTAACATAGTATTGGAAGTCCTAGCCATAGCAATCGGACAAGAAAAAGAAATAAAAAGTATCCAAATTGGAAGGGAAGAGGCAAAATTGTCATTTTATGCAGATGACATACTATATAGAAAACCCTAAAGAATCCACAAAAAAACTGCTAGAAATAATAAGCAAATTCAGCAAAGTAGCAGGATACAAGATTAACATATAGAAACCGGTTGCATTTCTTTACACTAACAACAGAATATCAGAAAGGGAATGTAAACAAACAATATTATTTAAAATCTCACCCAAAAATATAAAATAAGCTTAAGAATAAACCTGACTGTGGAGGTAAAAGACTTATATGCTGAGAACTATAAAATATTAATAAAGGAAACTGAAGGTGAGTCAAAGAAATGGAAAGATATCCCATGCTCATGGATTGGAAGAATTAACATTGTTAAAATGGTCATACAGCCCAAAGCAAACTACAGATTTAATGCAGTCCCTATCAAATTACCCATGACATTTTCACAGAACTAGAATAATCCTAAAATTTATATGGAACTATTAAAGACCCAGAATTGCTAAAGCAATCCTGAAGAAAAAGAACAAAGCAGGAGACATTACCCTCCCAGAGTTCAGACAATACTACAAAGCTACAGGGGTATTGGCACAAAAAACAGACATATAGGTCAATGAAACAGAATAGAGAGCCCAGAAATAAACCCACACACCTATAGTCAGTCTTCAACAAAGGAGGAAAGAATATACAATAGGAAAAAGACAGTCTCTTCAACAAGTGGTGCTGGGAAACTTGGACAGCCATATGGAAATCAATGAAGTTAGAACATACCCTCTCACCATACATAAAAATAAACTCACAGCGGCTTAAAGACTTAAGACATGACACCACAAAACTCCTAGGACAAAACATTCTCTGACATAAATCATACCAATGTTTTCTTAAGTCAGTCTCCCAAAGCAATAGAAATAAAAACAAAAAGAAACAAATGGGACCTAATCAAACTTACCAGCTTTTGCACAGCAAAAGAAACCATAAACAAAGAGACAACCTACAGAATGGGAGAAAGTATTTTCAAACAATGAGACCAATAAGGGCTTTATTTCCAAAATATACAAATAGCTCATACAACTCAACAAAAAAACAACACAATTGAAAAATGGGCAGAAGACCTAAATAGACATTTCTCCAAAGAAGAAATACAAATGGCCAATAGGTACATGAAAAGATGCTCAGCATTGCTAATTACTAGAGAAATGCAAATCAAAACTACAATGAGGTACCACGTCACACCAGTCAGAATGGCCATCATTAAAAACTCTACAAATAACAGATGCTGGAGAGGGTGTGGAGAAAAGGGAACACTCCTACACTGTTGGAATGTAAGTTGGTACAGCCTCTATGGAAAACAATATAGAGGTTCCTCAGAGAACTAAAAATAGAATTACCATATGATCCAGCAATCCCACTCCTAGGCATATATCCAGACAAAACTCTAATCCAAAAAGATACATGCACACCTATGTTCACAGCAGCACTATTCACAATAGCCAAGACAGAAACAACCTAAATGCCCATCAACAGATGAATGGATAAAGAAGATGTGGTACATATATACAATGGAATACTACTCAGCCATAAAAAAGAATGAAATAATGCCACTTGCAGCAACATGGATGCAACTAGAGATTGTCATATTAAGTGAAGTAAGTCAAAGAGAAAGACAAATACCATACGATATCACTTATATGTGGAATCTAAAATATGACACAAATGAACGTATCTACGTATGAAACAAAAACAGACTCACAGACATAGAGAACAGACTTGTAGTTGCCGAGGGGGAGGGGGTTGGGGGAGGGATGGAATGGGAGGTTGAGGTTAGCAGATATAAGCTATTATATATGGAATGGATAAACAACATCCTGCTGTATAGCATGGAGAACTATGTTTGGTATTCTGTGATGAACCATAATAGAAAAGAATTTTTAAAAAGAAAGAAAGAAAAGTTCTTCACTAATGTGGTTTTGTTACTAATTAGTCTCTGAATGTTATTTATTATATCACTTAATTGTTGTGAGTTTTTCATAGATCTTCATTTTCTATTTCCTAGGAAGGAAAATTAGAAGAGGTGAACACAATCTTAGCCATTCATGACAACTATAAACACGAATTCTACAATGATGACTCTTGGGTTGAATTTATTGAGCTAGATATTGATGACCCCGATGAAAAGACTGAAGGATCAGACACAGACAGACTTCTAAGCAATGACCATGAAAAATCACTTAATATCCTTGGGGCAAAGGATGACGACTCTGGACGTACCAGCTGTTATGAACCTGACATTCTGGAGACTGATTTCAATGCCAATGACATGTGTGATGGTACCTCAGAGGTTGCTCAGCCACAAAGGTTGAAAGGGGAAGCAGATCGCTTGTGCCTTGACCAGAAGAATCTAGATAACTCACCTTCGAATGATGCTACCCCTGCTAGCCAGCAGCCCAGTGTTATCCTAGGAGAGGAAAACAAACCAAGATCACTTCTTATTGCCAAAACTGAGTCAACTCATCAAGCTGGCCATACACAGCAACAGCTCAGCAATCCAAATTCATTGGCAAACATCGACTTTTATGCCCAGGTAAGTGACATTACACCAGCAGGGAGTGTGGTCCTTTCCCCAGGCCAAAAGAATAAGGCTGGGATCTCCCAGTGTGACATGCATCCAGAAGTCGTCTCACCCTGCCAAGCAAACTTCATCATGGACAACGCCTACTTCTGTGAGGCAGATGCTAAAAAGTGCATCGCCCTGGCCCCTCATGTCGAGGTTGAATCACATGTAGAGCCAAGCTTTAACCAGGAAGACATTTACATCACCACGGAAAGCCTTACCACTACTGCTGGGAGGTCTGGGACAGCAGAACGTGTTCCAAGTTCTGAGTTGCCTGTCCCAGACTATACCTCCATTCATATAGTACAATCTCCACAGGGCCTCGTACTCAATGCAACTGCCCTGCCCTTGCCTGACAAAGAGTTTCTCTCATCATGTGGCTACGTGAGCACAGACCAACTGAACAAAATCATGCCGTAGCTTTTCTTCGATTTCCCATGAGCTACATATTTAATGAGTTACCTATTTACTCTAGCAAAGAGTTGGCTAGGGCATGAATGCTTAAACCAAAACAATGTTTAAACATTTTTTGGAGGGGGGTGGGAGTTGAGGGTGGGGGATACAGATTCTAAATGGCTTTTCCTGAGATGTTGAAACATGATATTAAAGAAAAAGAAGAAGAACCCTTCATCAGATAGATATTCTTGTGAATTGTAAATATTTTAAAGAATTGTCTCAAAGACTGTTTAGTGGCAGTGATTGTCTTGTTATTGTGGGTGTTAATTTTGTGCTACTAAGCATTGAATGGCTATGTTTTTTAATCTATAGTTAATCATGCTTTTTGAAAAAGCGAAAAATCAGGTGGCTTTTGCAGTTCAGGACGATTGAATGCAAATCATAGCACAGGCTAATTTTTTTTTAATAATTGGGAACTAAAAGTTTAGGTAAGAAGAGAAGAAATAGTTTGGATATGTAAAACATTTATTTTGACATAAAATGGATAAAGGTATTTTTAATAATTTACACTTTAAGCATGGCTATTTTCTATTACACTATACACGGTGTACTGTAGCTCATGCCGACCCATCTAAAGAATGTAGTAACTGCAGTCTAAAGCTGGTTTAATGCTTTGGTCAACGCACCTGAAGAAAAACTAGTTTTTTACAGGGCCCTTTTTATACCTCCTAAAACTCTTTAAATGATTCTAAAATGATTGTAGTTAGCTGCATTATTGGAATGTGTTCATCTTATCTGAATTTGTAAACAGATATTTGTTAATTTAGAAAACTTTAAAATGTTTGCACAGATCAACTTATCATGAACCAAAAAAACCAAAAAACCCCACAACACAAATGAACAAAAAGGCTTTTCTTACCCAAGTTTTGGTTCATGTCAGAGCACTGCATACTAAGAGAATAGAAATCATAGCTGGTTCCTATTGACCCAGAATGCTTAATCACTGCAGTGCACAGGGAAGGAGTTTCTTAGTGCACTCAGATCTTGAGAGTCAAGCCTTAGAACCTCGGCCACAGTGTCTCTTAGTTCATATTTACCTAAGGAAGGAATAGGTACAAGAAGCATTTTGTAAGTTGAAGCTGGTCGAAGTGAAGTTAACCAGATCATGGAATAAAAGTTCAAGAAAAAGCTTTTTCTTTCACAGCCTATAGCCAGACACATACTCATTATTCATGGTAGCAAAAAAAGAGAAAAAACAAGATTTTAAATCCCCAAGATAATTAAAAAATTTATTTAAACCCATAGCAGAAACTTTCTTCCTTACCAAATCTTTTATAGGATTTACTTAATAAAAGAAGTTTCATCATTTTTTACTTCCCCTCTAAGTGGATTGGCCTTAAAGCGGGTAGTCAGAAGAAAAAGAAGCAGCCTGAGTAAATTATAAGTTATTGTTCAATATCTTAATAACCTAAACATCATTCATAGGAGCACTGGGATTGCTCCTCAAAAGGTTTGTCAAAAAGAGAAGACTCATCTCACTCAAGAATGCTTCTCACTTAAGTATTTTTTAAAGGTTAATAAAACTTTAAAGTTAGCTTTAACTTAAATAGTATTTGCCATACCTTTTTAGGAAACAAGCTTAATGGTTGGCAATTTTAAATTCCCTCTTTCTTGCAGGAAGGACAGTGAAAAGCTAGAATTGGGTGTTTAAAGTTCAACATGTTACTTTGTAATAGATGTTTAATAGATTTTCTGCTACCTTGCTGCTACGGTTTTCTCTAAGAGCTACATAATTTAGTTTCATAGACAGTTTCATCAATGTAGAACCTAATTCAACTTAAAACTGTGTGTTTGGGAAAGCTATCTTACTATTTTACAATAGGCTGACATTTCTATAGCCAAAAATAGCTAAATACCTCAATCGGTCTCCGAATGTCATTTTGGTACTTTGCTGGCCACACAAGCCATTATTCACTAGTATGACTAGTTGTGTCCTGCAGTTTATATTTAACTTTCTTTATGTCTGTGGATTTTTTCCTTCAAAGTTTAATAAATTTATTTTCTTGGATTTGTGATGGTGTGCTTCTATTGTCAAACACCCACAGGAAAAGCATCCTAAATCAGACTGCATACTCAGTTCTTCTCCTTGTAAGGGGAGCATAGCACAGTTCGTTTAAACACAGTAGCAATGTGTGTGAAGATTTTTTTCTGTGCTGAAATATAGAGCAGAGAAGACAGCTCCGACCCTTTTTTAATTTTGAATAAACACAAGCCCAGCTCAAAAATATCCTGCTGGCTTGCCTGGACTCTTAGAGCCATATTTTGGATGCATCAAAGCATGCATGATGCACATGGGGGTGTTTGTGACATGGGGAGAGCTTGAGCATGTTGCCTAGAAAGAGGGGAAGGGTAAACAGTTCTCCCTCTACCATTCACACATTAGAACAAGTCAGTTTGTCAGACTAGCTCCTTGTTTGACTGCAAAACTTCCAAAGAACTGGGGGAGGCAGAAATTCCACTCTTGGAGGGCACACACAAGGTCTCATGAGCACCAGGACACAGGGGAAAAAGAGTGACCTCTTAAGACCCTAGGCCAGACCTACCTGCTGGTATTGGAGGGTCTCCTGTGGAGGGGGTTGGGGGCGTGTGAGGGGGTGGCTGTGACTCACTGTGTGGACAGAGACACTGGTGGCGGTAGTTCTGGGTAGTACTCATTGGCGTAAGCCCTCCTGGAGGCCACCATTTTCTCACCAAGACCTGGCCTCACCCAACCGCCAGTAGGTTCTAGTGCTGGGATGCCTCAGACCAAACAACCAACAGGGTGGGAACACAGCCCCACCCATCAGCAAACAGGCTGCCTAAAGTCTTCCTAAGCCCACAGCTGGCCACTAAACACACCCATTAACACAGCCCTGCCCACAGGAGGGACAAGACCCAGCTCTGCCCACCAGTGGGCTGGAACCAGTCCCTCTCACCAGGAAACCAGCATAAGCCCCTTAGACCAGCCTCATCCACAAGGCAGCAGACAGCAGAAGCAAGAAGAACTACAACCCTGCAACCTGTGGAATGGAAACCACAATCACAGAAAGACAAAATGAGACAGCAGAGGACTATATCCCAGAGAAAGGGACAAGATAAAATCCCAGAACAACAACTCAGCGGAGACAGGCAATCTACCCAAAAAAGAATTCAGAGTAATGATAGTAAGGATGATCTAAGATCTCAGAAAAAGATAAAGGCACAGACCAGGAAGATACAAGAAATATTTAATAAAGACATAAAAGAACTAAAGAACAAACATAGATGAACAATACAACAACTGAAATGAAAAATACACTAAAAGGAATCAATAGCAGAATAAATAAAGCAGAAGAATGTATAAGTGAACTGGAAGACAAAATGGCAGAAATCACTGCTGTGGAACAGAATAAAGAAGAAAGAATGAAAAGAAATGAGGAAAATCTAAGAGACCTCTGAGACAACATTAAATGCACCAACATTCACATTATAGGAGTCTCAGAAGGAGAAGATAGAAAGGACCTGAGTAAATATTTGAATAGACAATAGCTGAAAAATACCCTAACATGGGAAAGGAAAGTGTAACCCAAGTCCAGGAAGCCCAGAGAGTCCAAGGCAGGATAAACCCAAGGAGGAACATGCTGGGACACAGAGTAATCAAACTGACAAAAATTAAAGACAAAGTGAAAATACTAAAAGAAACAAGGGAAAAGAAACAAATAACGTACAAGGGAACTTCCATAAGGTTATCAGCTGATTTTTCAGCAGAAACATTACAGGCCAGAAAGGAGTGGCACCATATATTTAAACTGATGAAAGGGAAGAACCTACAACCAAGAATACACTAGCCAGCAAGGCTCTTGTTCAGATTTGATGGAGAAATCAAGAGCTTTACAAAAATGAGAAGCTAAGAGAATTCAGCACCACCAGAGCAGACCAGCTTTGCAACAAACGCTAAAGGAACTTCTCTAGGTGAAAAAGAAAAAGAAAAGGCCACAACTAAAAACAAGAATATAGGAAAAGGCAAATATAAAGGTAGGAAATCATCCACACAAAAAATATATCAAAACCAGCAATCATGAGAAGAGGAGAGTACAAATGCAGGACACTGGAAATGCATTTGAAATTAAAAGACCGGCAACATAAAACAATCTTCTTTATATAAAGACTGCTATATCAAAACCTCATGGTAACCACAAACCAAAAATCTACAATAGATACACAAACAAAAAAAGAATAAGGAATAAAAACACAACAGTAAATTTAGCCATCAAATCACAAAAGAGAAGAGGAAAGGAAGGGAAAAGACCTACAAAGACAAATACAAAACAATTAAAATGGCAATAAGAACGTACATATCAATAATTATGTTAAATGTAAATGGATTAAATGCTCCAACCAAAAGTCACAGACTAGCTGAATGGTTACAAAAACAAGACCCATATACATGCTGTCTACAAGAAACACACTTCAGATCTAAGAACACATACAGACAATGAGAGGGGATGGAAAAAGGTATTCATTGCAAATGGAAATCAAAAGAAAGCTGGTGTAGCTATACTCATCTCAGACAAAATAGACTTTAAAAACTCTTGCAAGAGACAAAGGACACTACATAATGATCAAGGGATCAATCCAAGAAGATATAAAAATTGTAAGTATATATGCACCCAACAGAGCAGCACCTCAATATATAAGGCAAATACTAACAACCATAAAAGGAGAAATCAACAGTAACACAATACTAGTGGGGGACTTTGAAACCCCACTTTCATCAATAGATCATCCAGACAGAAAATCAATAAGGAAACACAGGCCTTAAAGGACACGTTAGACCAGATGGACTTAATCAGTATTTATAGAGCATTCCCTCTAAAAGGAGCAGAATACACATTCTTTTCAAGTACACATGGAACATTCTCCAGGATTGATCACATTCTAGGACACAAAACAAGCTTTGTAAATTTAAATAAATTGAAATCATATCAACCATCTTTCTGACAACAACACTGAGATTAGAAATGAACTACAAGAAAAAAAAATGTGAAAAAGACACAAACATGTGGAGGTTAAACAATATGCTACTAAACAACCAATGGCTCACTAAAGAAATCAAAGAGGAAATCAAAAAATACCTAGAGACAAATGAAAATGAAAACACAATTATTTAAAACCTATGGGACACAGAAAAAGCAGTTCTAAGAGAATTTACAGCAATAAAATCTTACCTCAGGAAGCAAGAAAAATCCCAAATAAACAATCTAATTTAACAACTAAAGGAACTAGAGAAAGAAAAACAAACAAAACCCCAAGTTAGTAGAAGGAAAGAAATCATAAAGACCACAGAAGAAATACATGAAAAACAGACAAAGAGTACAATAGCAAAGATCAATAAAACTAAAATCTGGTTCTTTGAGAAGATAAACAAAATTGATAAACCATTAGCCAGACTCAGAGGGAGAGGACTCAAATCAATAAAATTAGAAATGAAAAAGGAGAAGTTACAACAGACACTGCAGTAATACAAAGCATCATAAGAGAATACTACAAGCAACTCTATGCCAATAAAATGGACAACCTGGAAGAAATTGACAAACTCTTAGAAAGGTATAACCTTCCAAGACTGAACCAGGAAGAAATAGAAAATATGAACAGACCAATTGCAAGTAATGAAATTGAAACTGTGATTAAAAATCTTCCAACAAACAAAAGTCTAGGACCAGATGGCTTCACAGGTGAATTCTATCAAACATGTAGAGAAGAACTAACAGCCATCCTCCTCAAACTCCTCCAAAAAATTTCAGAGGGAGGAACACACCGAAACTCATTCTACAAGGCCACCACCACCCTGATACCAAAGCCAGACAAAGATGTCACAAAAAATAGAATTACAGACCAATATCACTGATGAATATAGATTCAAAAATCCTCAACAAAATACGAGCAAACAGAATCCAACAACACATAAAAAGGATCATACAATATGATCAAGTAGGATTTATCCCAAGATGCAAGGATTCTTCAATATATGCAAATCAATCAATGTGACACTCCATATTAACAAATTGAATAAAAACCATATGATAATCTCAATATATGCAGGAAAAGCTTTTGACAAAATTCAACACCTATTTATGATAAAAACTCTCCAGAAATGGGCACAGTGGGAACCTACCTCAACATAATAAAGGCCATATATGACAAACCCATAGCAAACATCATTCTCAATAATGAAAAACTAAAAGCATTATCTGCTAAGATCAGGAAAAAGACAAGGATGTCCATGCTCACCACTATTATTCAAAATAGTTTTGGAAGTCATAGACACAGCAGTCAGAGAAGAAATAAAAGGAATACAAATTGGAAAAGAAGAAGTAAAGCTATCACTGTTTGCAGATGACACGATACTATACATAGAAAATCCTAAAGATGCCACCAGAAAACTACTAGACCTAATCAATCAATTTGGTAAAGTTGCAGGATACAAAATTAATGCACAGAAATCTCTTGCATTCCTATACACTAATGATGAAAAATCTGAAAGAGAAATTAAGGAAACACTCCCATTTACCATTGCAACAAAAAGAATAAAATACCTAGGGTTAAACTACCTAAGGAGGCAAAAGACCTGTATGCAGAAAACTATAAGATGCTGATGAAAGAAACTGAAGATGATACAAACAGATGGAAAGATATACCATGTTCTTGGATTGGAAGAATCAATACTGTGAAAATGACTATACTACCCAAAGCAACCTACAGATTCAATGCAATCCCTATCAAATTTCCAATGGTATTTTCCACAGAACTAGAACAAAAAAATCTTAAAATCTGTATGGAGACACAAAAGACGCCAAATAGCCAAAGCAATCTTGAGGGGGGGAAAAAAACAGAGCTGGAGGAATCAGACTCCCTGATTTAAGATTATACTGCAAAGCTACAGTAATCAAGACAGTACAGAATGGGAACAAAAACAGAAATATAGAGCAATGGAACAGGATAGAAAGCTCAGAGATAAACCCATGCAGATATGGTCACCTAATTTATGTCAAAGGAGGCAAGAACATAGAACGGAGAAAAGACAGTCTCTTCAATAAGTGGTGCTCAGAAA